ATAGAGCCAAAGATGTTAGAATTGTGTCGATGTCCCAATATTTCTGGACCTGACTGTACACTGTGTAAAAATTGAGAAGCCTCAATCCCTGCAGCTTAAGAAAAGGAAGGTGGACTGTATGTACCATTCTAAAGTTAGTTGCCAAAATACTGTTCTTACCTAAATCACTGTTTAATCTGTCTGTGACTTATAGTCTGAATATTCTGGTGATAGAATTATTTATTTACAGAAATTAGACTAATAATGACAATTAAGGTGAATACAGATAATATTTCAGTGAGGTTATTATTATTTGTACATGTAATTGTCCTTGAGCAACAACAGAATAAAATGAGTAGCCAGATAGTTGATTGAATTGCATTTACTTTTTTTCCTGCAGTATACATATATAATTCAATTTTTTTAAAAAAAGGGCATCCTGGGATAGACTGAGTGGAACCCTCTCCCTTCCTCTGAATCCAAAATGATATGTATGTAATTTTAAAATTAATTTTAATTATATGTTCACTTTCTTTAAAAGATATCTATACTGATAAAAGTGTATGTCAAGGATTATAGAACATCAGAACTTGTTTTCTGGCAACAGTAACTCATGCCTTGATCAGCACTCAGTTGCACTACTGTAATACTCAGGACCGTTATTGCAGGCAACTGGAAGCTGCAGCTGGTACAAAATGTGGCAGCCAGACTCCTGATGGGACAACCCTCTCAAGCTAGAATAAAAGTGATTTTGAAATTGCTACATTGGTTGCCAGTAGGCCTCCAGACTCAAGTTAGACTGTGGGTCATTACTTTTAAAGTCCTTTATGGTGCAGTGCTAGGATATAACGGGCAATACTATGCCAGGTCAAATCTACCCATCCAATCTGGTCATGAAAAGAGTCCATGTAGCAGTTTGTAAGGTACATGAGGTATGGAATAGTCAACAGTAGTGGCCCCCATTCTATTGAATACTTTCCCCCACAGAGGTCTAGCTGGTCCCAGTGCTATTTCACAAACTAATCAAAGCAGTGCCATTTCAGCAGTTGTTTGGTCTTTAGGGTAGTTTAAGTTATTCGGTGCCTGTGAGGTTTTTTATTGTTTACTGGGGTTTTGAATAATTGTATGCTGTATTTTTTTCTTTCCCTTTTTGTCTGTATCCCACCCAAAATCCTTGCTTATTGGGATAGACTATGCATATTTTAAATAAATTGCATTAGGTAGAAATATACCTACCTTAATATCACCAGTAATACTATGATGGGAATATACATGTGCTCCTATCTAACAAATGTGAACATTGGACAACATGAATGTCTTTTATCTCCCCTGGAAAACCTTATTTGGATTACTGCTTCTATTTATCTGATAGGCAGAAGACAGAAGATAGCAATTGATCACAAGACAAAGTTTTAATAATGGTGACCCCCCACCCAACTGAATTTTCTCTTGATATGTCAGAAAGAATACACGGCTATTTGAACCTTTAGAGATCAGTGAGCATAAATGTAGCAGCAAATTAAAATTTAAAAGGGAGAGGCAGAACAGTTTTTGTGGTGACTTTCATTCCAGAGCAAATAGGACCAGAAATTGGGTGGGAAGTTGGTCTCTTTCCCTTTCTAGGGACCTCAAGAAAAAATGTTCACATTCTGGAACAAGTAGGAGCAACCCAGCTAAGGATACTCTCTTTCACTGTTGGAAAATCTGTGTCTTATTCATGTTTTTCATATCTATGTAATTAACTGTAAATGTTTTATGTTTTAGATATAATTAAAGAACAAAATAAGGAATTAAGAGGTACACAGAGGGCTATAGGAAGAGATCGAGCAGCTTTGGAGAGACAAGAAAAGCAACTGGTAAGTAAATCAGATAACTGTAGTTCATCATTCACGGTAAGAAACTCAAATGTATTGTGGAAAAAAAAGCATTTCATTGTAATATCAATATTTTATAGATTTTAATTTGTAAAACAGCATTTTCTCCTTTTACCTAAAGATGTTCAAATAGAAATTAATCAATTACTGGTTATGTGTCTGTGGCTATTTATTATAATATTAATGGCAAAATTAAAAAAAAAACTAAAATCAGCTTTCTTTTCAATAAATAGGAATTGGAAATAAAGAAAATGGCTAAAACAGGAAACAAAGAAGCCTGTAAAGTTCTAGCAAAACAGCTTGTGCAGTTGAGAAAACAGAAAACTCGAACTTATGCTGTTAGCTCAAAAGTTACATCCATGTCAACTCAGACAAAACTGATGAATTCCCAGATGAAGATGGCAGGAGCAATGTCAACAACAGCAAAGGTAGGCAATTAAGCCTCACTTACCCAAGTGCTCAGAGTCAGATAGTTAGGGAAAACCACTGCCTGAAAATCTAGAGCAGTGGTTTTCAACCTTTTTCATCTCACACATGTAATAGGCACGGCTTCCAGGTAACAAAACCGGAAGTTCCATGACGTCACAGGTTGCTGGGACTTGGGAGAAGAAATGGAGGCAGTCACCCCAGTGATGTCACAGAAGTGGGATTCTGGCTGCACGGCTGCACACCACTTCCTATCATTTATTTGGCTTGCTGATGCAGCATACCAGTGGACCTTTCACAGCACACAAATGTGCCATGGCACAGCAGTTGGAAACTGCTGATCTAGAGCATTTCTTGATTAGAATTAAATGGTACAGAAACAATGACCTAATAATCAGTATAAGGCAATTTCAAAGTTGGCAACTAACTAAAAATCTAAAACTTTCCTGATTCCTTGCTGTTCCATTAAATAATAAAAAAATAAAAATAAATTAAAAAATTGTAAGAACTGTATATTATAAATATATGGTTAAGGTTTCACCTGATTTTCATAGTTTTACTTATCCCACAATGTCTCAATATATAATAGTTAATTGTGGGTTAGCTATAAGTGATTCTTGGACTTGCCACTTTCTGGCTCCTGAACAAATCATAGTTACTCTTACACATATTCAAATGAAACAAGCCAACTGTCAGCCATTGTTTGAAGCTGACTCATTTCAATAACCATAATTAAGTGTTTGGATATAATACTAAACTGCAGTTAATTACAATCAAAGTGAAAACCTCTGTCCCAGAAAGAATACAGGAAGGAAACAGTTTATGAATCTAAGATTTGATCAGGTAATGCTACACTGCAGCATTGATTAAAGCACAATACTTTAAAAATGATTCTGACAAACTTGGCCATGCTTAGAGGAGGCCAATGAAAATAGTTAGGATCTGGAAACAAAACCCTGTTTAAAAAAAGAGAATGAAGGAAAGGTGTGTTTTTTCCCATGAAAAAGGGTGATTGTATGAGAATATGCTAACATTCTTATATGCCTGAAGTGATGTCACAAGGAAAAAGGCCATGACCTGTTCTCAAACATCCCACTAGGATATGGAATGATAGTCATACATTCAGGGCAGCAGATTCCAACTGAATGCTAGGGAAACTTCCTGTCAGTAAGAGCAGAAAACCAGTTACTTAAGGAGGTAGCATGGGTAAGAGGCTTGGGTAGATATTTGTTGGGGATATTTTAGTCTGAATTTGCCCACTGAGTAAAGATTGGACTTCCTGCTCTAAATAGCCTATTCTAAATCTGTGAATCTGTAATTCTAACTTGTTCGACCAAGCCAGATCAAAATTAGAAATGGCTATTATTGATATCTAGTTTGTTGCTAACAACTAGCTTACTTGCTAACAACCCTTTATGATGTTGAAACTTGGATTTCAACCAAGATAAAATTTTTCTTCTTTTAAACATCATAAAATTGTAATGGTGGTATGATCTTTATATAGTATTTGACTAGAGTGTCTTTTGAATATAAAACAACCTTTCTGTATACTGGTAGACAATGCTAGCTGTCAATAAAAAAATGGATCCACAGAAGACCCTGCAAACTATGCAGAACTTCCAGAAAGAAAACATGAAAATGGAAATGACAGAAGAAATGAGTAAGCTATTTTTTTTCCATATTATGCTAAACCTTTTTCTTAGTTCTATGTGAGGCCTGTCATATAACTGATGCATGGATTCCAAACTAATTTTGATTGAAGTTATTAAACTCATGAGTGTCCTTAATTTAATATGGGTGAATAATTTAATTTTATTCACTTTTAAAAATTATGATTCAAACAAGCAAAAACAAAAAGTACAAGTGGCAATAGTGAGGAAATGGCTTGGGAAAGAATGACAACATTCTGGGAAAGATTTATGCAGCACATTGAAGTGAAACCTTTCACTGTCCATTTAGGAGAATGTGTGAGACTGGTTGAAACATTTACTAGGTATTTCCTGACATTAGTGCTATGCTTTAAAAATTCTATGACATAAAAGTGAAAGACTGTGCTGAAGTTGTCGAGTTAGTATACTAAATATTGGTTTTCATTTCTCTTTCAAGTCAACGATACCCTAGATGACATCTTCAATGATTCTGATGAAGAACAAGAAAGTCAGGATATTGTTAACCAAGTCCTTGATGAAATTGGAATTGAAATATCTGGAAAGGTATGAAGAAATGTCCTTCCCCTGCTCATTTTAATCTCCTTTGTAATAGCTTTTTGGCTATAGGCTTACAGTTGATAGATGTTATCTTGGTTACCTAAATTAAACTTTTCCATATTATTTTTCTTCTTATTAGATGGCGAAGGCTCCTTCAGCTGCAAGAGGCGTGCCATCTGCATCTACATCAAAAAGTGCTACAATTTCAGATGAAGAGATTGAACGGCAGCTTAAAGCCTTGGGAGTAGATTAGCTTTATGCTAATATGAAGCCTGCCTCTGCAGTTGCTCCAACATTGGCATATGCACAAACTTCCAGTACAGGTTTCAATAAAAACCAGATTTCATTGCAAATCTTGCCTAAACCATTATTGGTGACAGTAATTTCTAAAGACAGCTGGAAGAACTAAATTTGAGAGAGAACAGTACATATATGTCTGATGAAGAATTGGTATACCTTTTAAGAAATTGGGATCTTTTGTTGATGGGGCATTTGTTACATAAGTTCTAAATTTTGATTTCTTCAGTTTAGTCTTTGGACAAAAAGTACTTAGCTTGACAACTATTCCATTTGTCTTTAGATTTCTACACTTAGTAAATTTTTTCAGGCAGCCTTTCTAAAGGCATTTCAGCTGTTTTAATTGTAAACACACTTCTTAAGAAATAACATGACTTAAAATGAAACCGTGTTTTTCTGAGTTGAAAGTTGGACAGTTGTCATCTTCAGCAGAATGATTATAAAAATTTCAGTAAAAATGTAGGCAGTCTTTCATTAAACACCTTTTAACCATTTAATCAGTTCAGTCTAATGTTAAAATGATACATATGTTTTCATTATAGGTTCTGATAGAGTACTGATACTCAGTGAAACTTCTGGAGGCAGAGCTGTGGTCTAAAATTATTTTGTGTTAGCAAAAATGTTTGAAGGGAAAATATTGAATAATTTCATTGTACTGTAATATAGCTGACTTGAAGAGAAGTCTGTGCCTTTTTGTATATAGTGCTTGGTTTCTTTTAAGTAAGTTTCGAATTGTGAGAAAAGTAATATTAAGCCATTGTCTCAACTTACTTTAGCACTGAAATTATGTGAACTCCATGATTGGTGTGGAGTATGTAACACCTGAAAAATATAGTCTTTTTCCTGAAATAGCATTTGTACATGATACCGTGCAGCATTTTTCACTAAACAAGTGTTACCTTTCAAAATATACTGTATTGTCCAATATAATATGTTCCATATCCATTTTTACACCCACTTGAATGTTGTACACTGGCTTTTCTGAAGTTAATGGATTTATTAAATTCCACCTAATATGGTTAAGCAGTACATATTTGATGTGCTATAGAAAAAATAACTCACTTTAACTGTATAGCAATAGAACAGCAGGTTGTAAGAGAAAATTTTGTATCTTTTCAAACTGCATTGTACAATTGGCAATGATCTTGTAAGTGCAAAGGATGAAGAGCCAGTGAATGACATAACAAAATAACTGCTATGGCTGTATCATTTGACCATATACTACATGAAAATAGAATGTCAGCAGCAATTGAGAGTCTAGGATTCAGTTTTAAAAGGAAGCAATTATTTTATGTGATTATGCATAGGGTCAACTCACTCTCAAGTATTTATGGAATTGGATTTTATAGCTACAAAAATATTCAGTATGTGTCACTGTGCTTAGGTTGGGTAAGTTTTCATTTTGTAAAAATGAAGTAAAAGGTTTTTGACCTCATTACCACTTAAATTTGATATATTTAATTTGTTATTACTGAAAAAAATCTAAAATCATTTATCAGCCAGTAACTTAGACTGCGATTTTATACATGCTAATACCTAAACTTAATGGGACTTCTGTGCAGGCATGTGCAGAATTGTGTTGTATGGCATGTGAGAACTAGATGTGACCTTTTTTTAAAAAAAAAAAAAGATATATTGTGTTAATCATCTCATCTGTACTTTCCTATATTTGGATCCTTGATGTTAGTTAAATTAAAAATATATGAATTTTTGAAAAAAATAATTTTTAGCCCATTTCCAATTTTTAAAAATCTCTTAAGTGGTTCTTTTTGCTTGCAAAAAAATCTCTAATAATCTGAACAGAATAAACTTAGTTACTAGGATAAATAATTCATCTGGTAGGAAAGTATTGAAAATACTACCTCAGCTGAAATATTGAAAATTATCTTTGAAAATTAATTATACTGTAATTGCAGATTTCTGGAAGGGAACATCTAAAAGGAGAAGTAGACAGGAAGAATGCACCCAGTATGAGGCAGAATTTAACTTAGCAACCTTTCAATTTCAGATTTTTTTTTCTCATCCCTCACTTCCTGCTTTGGGAATCTCTTTAATTTCTGCAATTTTTCTACCTCTCCTTCAAAATCTCATTCTTATAGGAGAGAGAAAGACTTTGTTGTTGTTTATTTTACTAATTCAGTTTAATATAAATGGTGCTAATAGAGTATTGGATTAAACAACTACAGCATACAGACTCCATCATCTCTTTCCCTGAGCCCTGCATACAGTTTAGCTGAAGTTGGGAAATGCAGCCCTTTGGCAAAAGAAGTTCCCTGTTTTGTTTATAATGCTGGAGTCCTCACATAGTGAACATGGGTATCGATGTGCTTATGGAATTCTCTTTTGCCACATCCAGGCTACAGATTCCACCTGATTTGGGGTTAGGGATCAGGGTGGGATTGTTTTGTGACTGGCCGTGCTACTGTGATAGCCATTTTGTGAATGAAATATGCACACTCAGGGTAGCCATGTGCCAACAACTGGTTCTCAAAATTCCAAATAGGACCCTGCATAATGCCTCCTATTTAAATACCAATATATAATTTGCAAAAAGCGTTTGTAAAAAATACAGAGAGCTTTTTATTGGTATATTTGATTTCTATATTTAATTGATTTTTTAAAAGGATGTTAGAGATGTTTACCTTTTCAGCACCAAGAATTACTCCTTGCAAAAACTAAAAATGCAGGCACTAAAATGGCCAAGTAGTCTTCATAGCAGGAAATACAGTTTCCAGGAATCTTTAAAAATGCATGTTCTATGAGCTTTCCAAATATCTCGTCTTTCTGCACTAAAATGATAATGCAACAGACTGCCGGGTCTTCCAGGGCTATAGACCCTTCACAAATTGTTTTGAAGAAGGGCTTAGAAGTTGCACAAGCCTTGATATGTTAAAGCTGATGTGGCTCTTAAGCAGCTGGACCTCTTTTTTTCAGGCTGGTGTAGAATCCTGAGGAGAAAGGAGCTACCTTAATGAATAGCAGAGAGGTGTGAAGCGCTTCTGAATAATTTTTGAAGCATACAGTTCTAATGCCTTCTTTTAAGTAAAGGTACTTATGGAAGTGCATAACTTTAAAATTATTTCATTATTAAATACATTTATAAAGGTAATGTGCTATTTTGTTTTCTTTGTTGGTGAGGTGGGGCAAAAAGTTTTTCATGCAGTTAAAGTTAAGCAATCCATTTGTCTGTGGAATGAATTCTACTGGCATTCTTGATGGTCCTTAATAATGGAATTAAAGGTGTTCTGGTGTAAACTTGTCTTCACTCTCTTTTCTCTTTGTCTTCGATTGCAGAACCAAACTCTCACCACTTCCTTTTCCAGATTGAGCCCCTCTGCCATCCTCATGATCTCCTGAGATGAAGGCTTGCTCTGTTCTGAAAAATGGCTTTCCAAAGCTTCTTTAGCAGCAATACTGGAAAGAAAAATATCACATTGCAATCAAAGCCGTAACAGAGCTTTCTTCATGCTACGTGAAAACAGTGGGTGGCTTCTCATATGTAATCAGTATTTCAGTGTTAAAAAAAAGCACGAAATCATATGTAATTTTTACATGTCTGTGTACAGAGCAGATAGACTAGAACAAGACTTCTGGAGAAGTACACTTTAATGTTCACCCCATTCAGTGCCTAAAGTAGCATAAAGAGAGATTAGTGAGGGAGTGTTGAACCATGTGCAAAAGAAAAGGGCATATAGCAGGTCTCAAAATGATACTGAAAAATGAGCACACTTTAATAGAAAAGCAAGGTGGTCAACATATTTTGTTGAAAAATTTCCTTAGGAAAAACAGTTTCATCACCAACCACATCTCCCTTTTGATCTATGACACTCTTAAATGGCACACTTGCAACGACAAAAGTACTATGGTTACTATATCACACTTGAGTCAGAATTCAATATTTATAAAAATATTCTCAGGCAGCATTCAGCACTACTGAGTAATAACATGGACATGGTATACATGTCTAGTCCAGATAAGCCAGATGGATATTAAATTTGTGCATTATTATCCCCTGTTACTTTAGTGAAGCACAATTGGTACAACTCTAATATGCTATGTTGCTGTTGGTCCCCTTACTGTTTATCTACATAGTCATTTAGAGTGGTATCAGATTTAAACTTAATTCAGAACACTTGAGGCAGTTTTTCCAGAAAATGTCCTCAAAGAACAAAAATTCTAGAATATAAGATTGAATAAAAGATTCATTAGAGATGGATAATTTTGTGCTTATATTACTACTGCCCAAATTTTATAGAAGATTCTTAGGAGTGATGGTAATTATAAGCATTATTGGGCATAGCTGAAAGCCATACCACAAAGGGACCTACTGCTGCTCTGCCCTTGACTGCTGCTTGACCTTATTGTCAGTGCTTGTTTACCAGACTTCAGTAACAATAGTGAGAAGAGCCATCTCTTTCATTTGCCTTATGCTCTTCCTCTACGGAGAAAAAATAATGAATTAAAGGAGTCTGAGGAGACAATGCTCATGGTTCTCTCAGTACTTCTAAATCGGTGCTTGTGTGTATTTAGATCATCATTCTTTGCTGTTGTTCTTTCCCTCTACTTTTGCTTTGATGTCATTATTGACACTTTCAGTGAGTTAACTTCCTGGGAACAATGAATATGAACAATTCCAGTCATCCAGGAAACACTAAGAACAAATGAGAATGACAATGTCTCTGCCTTTCTCTCAATTTCTGTGGGCAAATACTTTTGCTTCCTTTTGTAGCAGTTTGGTCCATGTTTTTCACAAGGATCACCATTCTTTTCTGCTCTAATTATAATTGTCTTGATTTGACTTATAAATGCTATAAAATTTTCTATAATACATTTATTGTTCTTTTCAGTTTTAACTGAGAATGTAAGTTAATGTACTTTCAGAGGCAAGATAATATAACTGTAACCAATAATTCTGACCACAAGAGGACAGCACTGTACTTCAGTTTTGATATGAAAGCAGTGTTCTGCTAAATATTGATGATAATGATGTTGAAGAGTTTGAGGGAATTCTGTAAACTGCATCCATTTTGTATGCCTCCTCTGATAAAATTGTAAATAATATATGTTTTTTTCAATCAGTACAGATATTGTGAAAATTAATGATGATGTAGAATATAGTATAAGCAACACTTGTGGCTGTTGTTTTGATTGTTGAAAAGATTCAGTTGTTTAGAGACCCCTGATCAAAATATGTGTTTTAATAGATCCTTCAGTGAACAGAAGCTGATAAAATCTCTACAAGGTATAAACAAGATACTTTTCTAAGAATATGAACCAATATTTAAGTGCAGTTGTTTAAAGATTCAGAATAAGAAAAATATGGTAGGTGCAGAAGTTAGGACATCCTGCCAGTCAGTACTTTGTAAGACCTCCTTTGGCAGAAATAATAGTTTCCAAACATTTCCTGTAACCAGCTAAGAGTCTTTCCATTCTTTCTTTGGAATTTTTCCCACTCTGCCCTGCGGAAGTCTTCTAGGTCAGAAATATTCTTAGGTTTCTTCACATGTATTGCATGATTGAGATTTCCCCACAGATTTTTAATAATATTCAGGTCTAGGATAGTTCCAAGCCCCTCCCTCCTTCCCTATTGAGTACTTCATAACTGATTTGGAGGTATATTTTGGATTCTTGTACTCCTGTAAAATCCAACCTCCTTTCAACTTCAATTGTTTCACTTTTTTCAAATTTGCAGAAACTTGTGGGGTTTATTTTCATACCACATAGAAGTTGTGTCAGCATCTGTTCAATTAGAAATTCACTGAAACATACGATTTAATCAGGGATGCCCAAATATTTGCCTACAAGTTGTAGATCATTATAAGGAAATATAATATATTAAATACAATACAATATACAAAATACAAGGAAATACAATACAATAAATCATGGAGACAGAATCCCTATCAGTCATGAGTACATGTAAAAAAGGTGCATTGCTTATTACCTTATGGTTGTTCTACGCTTTCTTTTCCGTTCATTCACACCAACTTTTTCATTGTATAATGCTATACAGTGGAACATTAACAAAAATAATTAACTCGCAGTAGTTAATGACAATATTGTAAAACATCTTGTGCAACCTGTACCATATTTAATTGTTGTGTTCAATAACTAACAATACATGCTTATAAGTGATAGTGAGAGATAAGGGCAATAAAGTGTTAAAATTCAGACTAAACTATTTTCTTATAACAAACATTATACAGCAATTGGCAGGCTGCTATGATCTTGTATAATAAAGGTTAAATTGTTTAGAATTATTTTGTGTATTATGAACATAAGAGGAGAACCCATGTGAATAGATCAGGAGCATATAACAAGTTTATATATTTGGCCAGGAACATTTGCTCTACTGACATTATTTCAGCAACCTATTTTGAAACCTTACAGTTATGGAAATCTAGGCTTTACGCATTCATAGTCTTCTGAGGAAATGCTTCACAATTTGCCTTCACATATGTTGTCAAGCAAATAAACAGTGTTATCTGCAACCACTCTTAAGAATGTGGAAACACTATTCTTAAAGAAGCTTTTAATTCCCTGAGGTGATAGAGTTCAGGAACATGTTTAACATTACTGTCTATAAGCTATAGATTGGACTTTACTATATCTGTCAGCGATGCCACACAGAGGCTTATTGCAGAAATGTCATCTGATTATGTTTTTATGAACCTTTCCCATACATTCAGTGAACGTGTTTGATGCAAGAGGAATTACACTCATGTGCCCCCCATTAACAATGCAAGCTCTATATCAATGTGAAGGCAATCTATATATATAACTATGTACAAACACAAGATTTGGTATAATGCAAACATACAACATCTTAGCTGAAAGATGACATTTTTCTATAGGCTTGGTATATTGGCACTAGATTGGGACATGGTTTGTGAGAATAATCCAGCTCTTCATTTAAGAAATAAGCCAATTATTGTCTGAACAGAACAATGCTGCTTGTATATTTTCACTGTTCCATGTGTATTTTTAAAAATGCAATAGAACTGTGTGGTGTTTCAGTTTTGAAAGGAAAGAGGTTCTCTGGAGCACAATGGGATATTCTTGTTGCTCCTGTCAGCAACTCCTTAAAATAGCTGCATCTTTCCCTTAAATTGCTGCACTACACAACTATAGCACTATCCTGGGAAAATATGCATTTGGTTTAGAAAGTTGCTGAAGGGTGCTACATGCGTGCCCATGTGTGTTCTGAACCATCTTTTCCTCTTCAGATTCAGAATGCTGAACAGTCTCAATACGCACATGAATAAAAATAGCGTTGACAAAATTTTAAAAAGAGTCTGATACCTCCTACTTGTTCTGCTTCCTCCAACCACTTAGTTAATATTGATTTTAGTTTGCAGGCATTCTTGAAACTCAACTGCAAGTTTTCAAACCGACAAATAGTTGTCTGGCTGAATTCAGAGCCATGCACTGCAGCCAGAGCTTCTCCAACATTTGTTTGTGTATAACCTGCCAAAAGAAAATAGGCCTAAAGAGTCAAACAAAAAAATCCAAGGGCAAAGAAGAGACAGAGTTCGCTATATAGGTATAGTTGCTGTTATTTTCAATCATTGGATGCAATGCTTTAGAATAAACCAAAATATATTTCAGTTCTTTACTTGCATGAGTCACATACCCAACTTAATTCTTCTCAACTTGAACTCATTGGCAAATTTTTCCAGCTCTCTAATTTCTGGGGAATCCATATCTATTGGTTCTTCAAGTGACTTGGTCTTCTTCCGAAATTCCTGCTTAAAATCAGTGGTTGTAGGATCAGCTCCAAGTAGAGATGGATGCATGGAAGTAAAGCTGTGGCCTAGAGCACATGAAGTGGCACTTAGAGCATGCTCAGGGAATTTATACAGGCAAGGAGTGAGACCACCTGTCCAGAAACAAAATATGTACAGCTTTCTGATTAAGAACCAATTTTAAGGAGATAAAATACTTTATTGTATTAATTTTGTTAAAAGTATATCAAATATTGGTAAAGAATGGTTAATGGAAACTTACTTGGTCGGTGATTTGAATTAATTAATTAAGAGTTCTTGTAACAATTCTTGTCAGTCAGAACTTGTGCCTGAACAAAGTGCTGAAAAAATAGTAAGTACATAGCAAAACATCCCATTGAAAATGCAAAATTTTGGACTTCCAGGGAAGCAATGGTGGACTGAAGATGGCTCCGCAAGAGTAGAGCCGACAGCCACAGTGGAAAGAGGAGCCAGTGAATGGATCAGCCCATCAGAACCCCACTCCGGATCAAGGAGAGGACTAGGAACACCCACAAGTTTGCTCCATATAGAGGCTAGTCCACAAAGAGACCGCAAAATAGCAATCTCCAGTGGGTTTGAGAGCTCTGGGAGCCAGGGGAAAATCATCCTGACTAAGCCATGTCTTGGTGTCTTCAAACAAACACTGGGTTCGCTCACTTCCTCTCTTAGGAAATTGCTTGTTGATCTTTTGGATGTTAAGAACCTTTTGAAGGGCAAATTTCATTACACTAAGATCTATTCTGGATGAAAGAAGTTTCATGTAAATTTAAGGATTAAAAAGGAAAAAAAATGGAAAACAGCAAAACAGACTAGAATGTTGATTTTGGAAAGTTAAGGGGACAGAGAGAAATGAAAGAATATTTCCTGTGGATTGTTTAAAATTTTATAAAGGTATATATGAAGATTTTGAAATTAACTGTAAGAAATCCTCTCATGGGAAAGTTTTGTTGATTGGAAAACAAACATGATAAGAGGGGACTTTGAAGGTCGACTAGAGGGAACCAGAGAGAACTAAAGATTATAATTAAGGGAGAAGAGACCCATTAATACAATGGAACATTATCTGACTACAGAAGAAATTAAGGCTGCCTGGGAACAATGGACTTAGAAATTATTTTCAAGATTGTCTGCCACTATAAAACTGGATCTAACAGAGGTTACAAAAGAGGAACAGATTTTACTGGACAAAATAGAGACTGAGGCTGGATTTGAAAATGGATTTTTTAAAAAATGCCAGACTACAAGAGTTATGTGGAAAAGATGATGTGGATTTGAAAACAGATTTAAAAATGACAGATTATAATAGTGATATAGAAAAAGATGCCACAATTGATTTACAGATGAAACTGCCTGATGTTTTAACTAAAGGGGACATAGAAATAATAAATCAGAAGAATGACTTGGATAGCCGCCTTATCTTGGATTTACAAAAGGTTCATGTTAAACTACTGAAGCTGTTCCTGAAAAGAGATAAAGAGAACATGATAAATCATCTTGTGGGATATTACTTGATTGGATTAAAGACTAAGCTTTTTAAAAATAAACAGAAGGACTAAAAAATGAATTTATTTGATATGGGTTAAAATATATATGTTGTGGTTTCTGGTAGCTATTACTGGAATTTCTTCTTGACCAGGATTGAATGACGAGGGTTTGAAGGTTTGTTTATAAATGGGTAGAGGTTTTTTGTTTTGTTTTGTTTTTTTGCTTTATTCCTCAAAGAAAGTAATAATTGGAATACAAAATGGATTTATTTGATTAAGGTTAAAATATATATGTTATTGTTTCTGGTAGTTCTCAATAAACTTTTGCTGAATAGGACAGAAGATGAGTTTTTACAATTTGTTTATTGATAATAGATGAGATATGGGAAGAAGAGATCTTTTTTATTATTATTGAAATACTAGAGAAGGTGTTAAGTTACTGAGTTGTTTATACTTGCCTGGAGGGAGGAGGGAGTAATTTTTTATATTTCTCTTTTTTTTCCCTCCTTTTTCTTTTCTTTTTTCTCTCTCTTTACACTTTTATTTCTCTTCACTTTTTATATTTCTCTTAGTTTGCATTAGTCTTTTATCTTTGTATTTGTAAACTTTAACAAAATTATTTTAAAAAAAGAAAATGAAAAACATTCATAACAGTTGTCTTGGATGCAGAACATTGGTTTAGTCCAGCTATCGATCAATACCAGCAGATATTCAATATATCTGTAGTAAAAGCTAGAGGTATTAAGAAATATATGAAGCACACTTCTATCCAAATTTCATCTTAATGAGAAGGAAGCACAAGAGAGAAAGAAACAGAAAGTTTCTTTGTTTCTTAAATACAGGGCTCATTTAACTAATAATAGGCAAGGTGAGAAACAGATAAAAAGAAAGCATGTGAAGATGCTTATCCTCATCCATCTCTTGCCAGTTGCCCTTGTACTCAAATAGGTTCATAGGTGCAAAGAAATGATGTGATCTCCAGAATACTTACAGCCAATTCTATAAAAAGCATTGTCACAACTGCCAAGATCATAGTTAACTATATGGTCTGTGAATGTGTATGTATATACAGTATATGTAGGTGTAGGTGTGTGTGTGTTAGATGCATATCCAGCCTCCAGGACTTCAAGTTAGTATACATAGCATTCGTTCTCTAATTTTTCCCTACAAAAACCCAGTGAAGTAGGTTTGACTGAGAAACACTGGTCCAAAGTCACCAGCGAGCTTCCATGGCTAATTGTTGGATTAACTGTGAGTCCCCCCAGTCCCTAATCTAACTGCCTTAAACACTATACCATATTGAAAAAATATATGATTCATACCTTTACTTCCTGGGATCAATAATTTTCAAATGAATAAAGTTGAGAAATATGATAAATTGGACATCTGTTGAAATTGTTAAGTTAAACTAATGTATACTGATGAATATAAGCTTACAGAAGTTTTTATCACTCTTTCTTAACTGTGCATAATTAAAATAATTGTATGTAGTGCACAACCTACAAGGAAATGATAAAAACATTAAATTCAGCTAATGAGATTCTATTATGTTATTAAGTTCTTTTAATAACAATAAAATTATTTTAATACAGAGACATCTGCAGGAGGGGATGGGCAGTGAAAAAAGCAGCATGGTACTGCAAGTACTGAGTCTTGTATGTGCATTGTGACATCACATATACATATGAAAGGGTAGAACTTTTCAGTACGATGATACAATGCTGCTGTCATCATTTTGACAAGGTCCGATGGATATACTGTATATCCCTCTCAAATCCTGCAGTGCTACTTCATCATGGCAAAGGTGTACATGTGTGTTCCTGGAAGAGATGAGAGAAGAATGCCAAGAGTGTATGCCAAAAGTATACTTTATACTCCCAGAATGGTCACCCAAAGCATGAAGGTCATCCCAGCTGCCCACCTAAAAAGGCACCTAAATTGGGAAGCAACAATAAAGGAAGAGATGGCTAATCACTTTAGTGATAAAGGCAAAGGCACAAATTCATACTGTGTAGGGGAAGGTAATCATAAACATCCCTTTATCAAAAAAAAAAAAACCCCACAAGATAAAGTAATGGCAATATACAGTTGGATGATGGGCCTCACATGTTCGATGGCATTCCGCATGCTACTGAGGAAGAGTTGATCTTTTGAACTCCTAAAAGTATTTATGACATACGAAGGGGGACTAAAAAATAACCTGAATTATCTTCTGGAGGGCGGGCCCCTTGTAGTACAGGCTTCCCCCGCTAGGTGAGTGTTCTAGGAACCCATCTGCATCAGCATACCAGCTGGGTTGTTGTGAGAGGCTGTGTTCAGTTTCAGTGAGGGTTTTTTTTTTAGAGACTCTTTCAATGCTTTTGCCTATTTCGTGGTGGGTGATTCATGCCTCGCTTGGTCATGCCTGAACAAAGAGACAGTTGCTTCACTGCGTGCCGTGCTTTGAAGGAGCAGTTAGAGGCTGACCCTGATTTTTTTTCGAAAGTCATAACCAGAGATGAATCTTGGTGCTACACCTACGACCCCGAAACGAAAGAGCAATCCAGCCAATGGAAAACTACCGCATCCCCCCGACCCAAAAAAGCACAAGTGAAGTTGAACGTGAAAACAATGATAATTGTTTCTTTGATGTGAGAGGGATTGTGCACTTGGAATTTGTTCCTCCAGGTGAAATGGTCAACCGAAGTTTTTATCTGGAAGTTTTGAGAAGGTTGCATCATGATTTGCGGAAGAAACATCCCGAGTTGTGGCAAACAGGTGACTGGTTCTTCCAGCATGACAACACACCTGCCCAAACCACACTGAGTGTTCAGCAGTTTTTAACCAAAAACAGCATGACCCTTGTGCCCCACCCTCCCTATTCACCCGATCTTGCCCCATGAGACTTTTTCTTGTTTCATCAGATGAAAAAAGTCCTCAAAGGGAAACATTTTGCCGATGTGGAGGAGATGAAACAAAAAATGGCAGAAGCACTAAAAGGCATCAGAATCAATGAGTTCAAAACTTGTTTTGAGCAGTGGTAAAAATGCCTTGATAGGTGTATTGCATCAAATGGAGAGTACTTTGAAGGCGACTGAAGTTTGAACATGTAAAAATACACAATCTTTTATAAATAAATTCTGGGGGGGGGGTTAGGTCCTCCCTCGTAACTAGATTAAAACTTTGAAAGTGTATAGTTGCTTATGTTGCTATGCAGGAAAAGAAAATCCAAAACTGTAAAGACAGTGTAAGAAGCATGAATATGGGAAAGCTCAGCACAATGAAAGATGAAATGAATCAACTACACATTGATATCTTAGGCATTAGCAAATTGAAATGGACTGGAATTGGATGCTTTCAGTTGGAAGATTTTTTTTTTTTTTTGCTACTCAGAACATGAAAAACAAATGACATTGCTTTCCTAATTAAAAAGGGTAGAGCAAAAGCAATACATGGGTACAATGCAGCCAATGACCAATTGATATTAATTAGACTTTATGGACTATCAAATGACAATTATCCAAGTTTATGCTCCAACTAGTGATTCAGAAAAAGAGGAGGTTGATAAATTACATAGTCAAGTTCAATCTTTAAATTGACAGAACATGCAAGCAGTATGTGCTACTTGTGGTTGAAGACTGGAATGCCAA